TCTGAGTTGCTATCGCGATACGATCGCACAGACTATTTCGCTGCCAATCTCGCCATTTCCATGCAGCCCAAGTCGATGGAGACATATTCGGACAAGAGAGAGGGGTGTGCATACGTGAAAAGCGAGCTCTCGTCGTCAACGGTGCGTGGAAATGCCAACAACAAACTGAAATGTTTTACATCTTTTAGAGACGTTGGGCAAGCTACAAGAAGAAGACGTCATGGCGTTCGAATGTGTGCAACTTACGGCAGTACCGAATACCAATGTCTGTAATGGTATTGCATAGGGACACTCGAAGGCACCGACTACTGTAGTACGATTGAACGCGCTATCATGGTGTCAGCACGGGCAGGACACGAGTGTTATCACGACACAATCATGTACGGTAGTTAGAGCCCACTTTGCCATCGCTCGCGGTGGCGTACTAGTACCATGACTCTTGACCGATGACATACTGTGTGCCCCGAAGCACGCTGTCAACGTGCTTGTATAAGCTCTTCGTACACATGCTCGAGGACATTGTTTGATTTCATTGGCGCGACGGTTCCCGCTGCCTGCTAAACTGGTCCAGATAAGGAAACGAACGGACGATCTTTCACACGGGATCGGTGCATGTTGCCATGTTGGAGGCCTTCTGGCACCCTTGACTACCCTCATCTCAATCCTAGGGGCGCCTTTGGTTGCTTTCCTGCCGCTTGCTGCCGTCCTAGTCAATTGCGCAATGGGAGATATCGCGCAATGGCAATGCGTCAACGGTGCCAATGTTGACGACGTGTCGATGGTGCGCCTGAAACCGGTAGCCGAGAATCGCACTCTGCAGGATGCCGTCGACTGCATGTTCAGTGTCATGCATTGGAAACCGAGGAGTTTCTATTGTCGTTCCCACCAAAATCAATGGCGTCCTTACTTAAGCGGTGTGCTTCATAACTTACTGGACCGCGGACGTATGTGGAAAGGTCGTTGCGACCTTCCGCAAAACACCAGTAGACAGACCCATCATCCTTCAAATCGAGAGCCGCATTTCAACAATACCCATAGACGGTTTTGATCACGAAGAAATGTGTATTTCATTCAGTGCACAATGGAATATGTAGGATCACAATGTGGTGGCGGCTACGTTAGCGCGTTTGGTGGTTGACAAAGCGCATCGCGAGAAGGCCAAGGAGGCGGAAGAGCAGAACAAAGCCAAGGAGCACGAGCACGTTGCGGGTGTTGTCGCCGTACTCCATCTCGAACATGACCTCGACGTACTCCTTCATGGTCACGGTCGACGCGTTGTTGAACTTGGACTGGAGCACGGACGGGGGTACGCCCTCCATGACGCGGCAGCCGAGGTCGGCGTCGCCCGGCGCATCGCACTTGGCAAAGGTGTTGGCGACAAGGAGCGCAAGGCCGTACTTGGGCGGCACGATCGTGTTGAGCCACTGGAGACCGCTCGGGATCGACGACGTCGGCGGGTTGAAGCCCATGAAGAGAAAGAAGATCGAGCTGATCAAGCTGCCAATCGTGCTCGCAACCTCGATCGACGGCAGCGCGCACGCCAGGAGCTGGCCAAAGTAGACTTGCATGAGCACGAAGATGCCCATGTACAGCCAGAACCAGACGCCTTGGACAAAGCCGACAAAGCCCACGAACGGGTAGAAGATGACGACGAAGACCGCAACCGAGACAAAGACGTACGGGATCTCGACGAGCGTCGAGCCGAGAAAGTACCAGAGCACATTGTATGTCTGGCACGCGCGCTCGCGGTAAAAGCTCGCACGCTCCTCCACAAAGAGCGGCAGAACGCTGTTGAAGCCCATCATGCCGATGAAGAGCGACGCCATAAAGACGACACCGACACCGGCGTTGAGGCCGTTGTACGTGGCGTACTCGGTGTCCATGTAAATGATACCAAAGAGGATCGAGAGCGCAAGGTTGGTGAGAATGCGCGTAAAGTTGTACGAGGGCGTGCGCCAGTACATGCGGGCAAACCGCTGCAACACCAATTGGCACTGAACACGTGGCTCGGCCGCACGCTTGGACGCAAAGACCATCTCTTCTTGGACCATGCTAGCTTCGCCGTCGAGGTCGGCCAGCAGCGCCTTCTTTAGATCGCTCGCTTCAAAAATGTCAGCATAGTCGGTCGTCGACTCGACGACCGCCGTGCCAGCACCAATGACCTCGAGCATCCACGTTGCCGGATTGTGGCCATACTCGATCGGAACCGTACCGGGAATCGCCTCGAGGTACTCGATGAGGTGCGAGCTGCCCGTGCCAAGCGGACCAAAGTAGACGGTCGCGCCACCGCGCTTGAGCAAGAGAAGCTGGTCAAACACGGCAAACACCTCGGACGACGGCTGGTGGATCGTGCACACGATCGTGCGACCCGACTTGGCGATCTGCGTGAGGCCCTTCATGATGCGCAAGGCCGCCCGCGCATCCAGCCCCGACGTCGGCTCGTCCAGAAAGAGGATGCTCGCGTTCGAAGCAAGCTCGACACCGATCGTCAAACCTACAAGTCATGTAGAGTTAGCACCCGACATCAATGCGAGCGATAGAGGCGGGACGTACGCTTCATCTGTTCAACCGACGACCCGCGAACGATGGTGTCGGCCAAGCCGTGCATGTCCAGCAAGGTGAGGCACTCCTCCACCGACGCCATCTTGTCGACATCCGAGACGTCGCTGGACTGGCGCAGAAAGGCGCTGAACTCGAGTGCTTCACGGAACGTGGCCGACTCGCAGTGCTGGTCGGTCTGTTCGCAGTAGCCCGTGACACGGCTGATGGCGAGCTTTGTCGCGGGAAAGCCGTTGAGTGTGATGCTGCCTTGGGTGGTCCCGCCGGTCTTGCGGCCAGCGAGGATGTCCATGAGGGTAGTCTTGCCAGCGCCGGACGAGCCCATGAGCGCAGTGATGGTGCCGGGGCGCGCATAGCCCGAGATGCCTCGGAGCAGATGCTTGTCTTCACCGTTCTTCTCCTTGACCGTGTACCAGACGTCTTGGAACGTGATCGTGACGGGCGACACGCGGGACGGCGGCATCGCGATGGCGACAGAGTCGCCCGAGACTGGCGTTGGAGGCAGCGAGGTATAGCTGTCATCGGCGTCAGAGCCTGCGTGGGCTTCCTCTTCGACCGTCGCATTGGTGCCTTCGGGGCTCTCGTAGCGCTTGAACTCGAGAAAGAAGCACGAGAGCGCCATAAAGACAACGTACGCCGCCGCTAAGTAGATGAAGCCATAGACGATCCAGACGCGGTCGTTCGTGTAGCCGTAGAGCGACAGTTGGTACGCGCCCATGTTCATGCCCGTGCGCTCGCAGTACTCGACGCCTTGGTACGAGCACTTCTGGAACTCGTCGCTCGAGTACTGGTTGACCGCAAGCGCGCGGAAGCACCACGTGAGCGGGTTGATCCAGAAGGTCCAGATGAGGTAATTCGGAATGTTGTCCTTGACGATCATGAAGCCCGCGAAGAGGATGTAGACAAGAATCGAGAGAAACGTGAGCGGCTGCGCCATGAGCAGATTCGGCGCTGCCGACGAGATGAAGAAGAACCACGCGGCAAAGGCCAGATTTGCGAGCACGAGCGCGCAGAGAAAGACGATGAAGGCAAACCCGTCGCTGACAAAGCCCGTCATCCAGTAGACGAGCGAGCCAAAGACAATCGACTCGCCGATCGCAAACGGGATCTGCGCAAGCGTCGTCGAGAGCACGTACGAGGCCGTGCGGTAAAAGTTCGCGCCGCGCTGCTTGTAAAAAATCGCGCGGGACGCAAAAAACGTGTTGACTTGGGCGGCTTGGCCAATGGCCACGAACATGATGGCCGAGAAGACCATGCCCATGGTGACTTGGGCCAGCGACGTGTCCATCTGATAGAATGTAAGACCGTAGAGGAGGCCCATGACGACGACCATGACGAACCGGCCTTGAATGTACGCCGTGTTGCGCACCATGAGCTTGAGCTGGCGCCGCATCACGGTCCCCGTGCTGGCCCAGAACGACTGGCGAAAGCGCGGCAGCGGCGCGTCAAAGTGGTCGTCGTCGATCGGCCCCGCAATGCGCTTGCATGCCGCAGCATGAATCTCCGAGGTCTTGAAGCGGGCGGCAAACGACGCGGGCGATGTCGGCGCGTCAATCGCAGACGTTGTTGTATACGCTGTCTGTTCGCGGGTGCTAAAATAGAATTTCGAAGCTGAGAAAGTGCAATCTCAAAAACATCGAAGCCATACCCGAGGTCGAGGAG